CTTTCTATTTCTTTGTCCCCACCATCCAGTTTGTCTCTCTGGAAAAAGAACAGATCAGAGACCCACATGGCAGAATACTGAGGCTGGAAGCTGTGGAGTTCTCTGCGCTGTACCAGCACAGCTGCTCTGCACGGACGAGGCGGCAAGCAGCACTGGGAGCAGCCCTCGCGGTGAGGCTGGGGTTGGGGCCAGGAGCTGGGAGCCCGGGAGGAGAGGGAGGCAGCGGGGAGATCGGGCGTCAAGCCCAAGGTGCTGGAAGGGGAGGAAGGCTGCTGTCGGATGAAGCTGGAGAAAGATTATCCTCAGCCTTTGCTGCATTTATTTTCTTCCACAGAGCCCGGGAGGAGGGCGGTGCTAACCTGCTCACCCTCAGCTAGCAGAGGGGAACCCAGAAGATTGGGAGTCCTCGTGCAGGCAGCACATGCTGTGCAGCAGAGATGAAAGCGGCCACCCCAAGAACAATGAAGTGTGACTGTATGCGTGTGTGTGTGTGTGTGTGTGTGTGGGTGCACATGCTCACGCATACACACTCAGAAATCACCCCTGGAAGGAGAGGTGCTGCAACACTCCCATGCTCAGGCTGGACTTGGGTACTGGGACTTCCGGGGCCACCATTTGCTTCTCGCTGTTCTCTGGTTTCTTCAAGTTTCCACATCAGACACTAATTGCCTTTGTAACAAGGGGGACAAGTAGGGTTTAATAAAAAGGGGAAACTGGGGCACAGGAAATCATTACAGATCAGATATCGATTTTCATTGTGATTTAACCAAGCGGTGGGCAAGGCTTCTTGGGTCAGCTCGGCCTCCTTTCCACTCTCCAGAGAGGGCTCGTGTACTCCCGGGAAGCGAGCTGGCACCACGTCTCAGCGCTGTCCTCTCTCTGTGGAGACACAACTGTCAGGTGGCGCGACCTCCTCCTCCCTGCTCCATGACACCAGCTTCTTTGCACAGGAGGAGGTGTGGACACGGTCAGTCCCACCAAGGGGCAGCGTGGCCGGGGAAGGGCGCAGCTCCCATGTGGGGGACAGCGGCTGGCCTGAGCTGCTGTCCTGGCTCTGCCCCGCTGGCCACACTGGGATCCCTGCATGTGTCCAGTTGTAGGGCTGGGGACTGTGCTCCCTGGGCAGTGGTGTCCCCACCGCTCCGAGGCTCACTGTGCATGGAGTACCCAAGCCTGCCATTGTGGAAAACTTGACTAGGGATCAACTGCCCAGCAGTAATGGGGCGCAGGTACAGTAAATTCAGGAACATTTCCTCCATAGAGTCCATCACGCCAAAACCAGTGATTTTGAAATGATTTATTCACCAGGGAAAGCGTCCTCATCACACTGCTCATTAAATACAAGAGGGGACCAGCCAGCACCACCAGGGCCAGCTCGGTGTCCACCCAAATGCACACAGAATGGACAGCAAAATGGAAATGCACCCACAGCACGCAGCAGTTGTCCAGGTAGTGAGGTGACAGATGGCTTTGGAGCTTATTTTCCTTCTCGGTGTCTTTGGCTTTTTCTAGTTATTAGTTTTAGTTATTGGGAATATGATTTTTAAAGAATTATACATGTGCTGCATATGGTATGCACACCTGTGATCCCAGTACTCGCGAGGCTGAGGCAGGAGATCACTGTCAGGTCAAGACCAGCCTGGGCTACAAAGTGAGCTCAAGGCCAGCCTGAAATGCATAGTGAGACCCTGCCTCAAAAAGATGTGCGCGCACACACACGCACACGCACACACACACACACACACGCAGAATTATACCTCTGAGTGAAGAGACACAGAATGGTGAGCAGGGTCCTTGGTAGGGGCTGAGAGGTGCAGGGAAGACTGGAGGTGGTTACCTCCTCCTCCTCTGTTCGGGACATCGTGTGGCCCTCCCACCTGCCGGGCACGCCTCTCCCGCCACCTTTCTGCCTTTTCTCACTGTCAACAGCTTGTACTCAACCCCATTTTCCAGTCAGTGTCATGTTGGCCACCTTGAGTTCTGTGTTTCTCAGAATTTTCAGAGGGAGGCAGGTGGGACAAGGACTTATGGGTGACGTGCTGGTTCTAGGATCAGGGACTACCACCGTGGAAATCACTGTTTCCAAGTTCTTTAGGATGGTGCAGTTGAGACTTTGCAAATGCCAGTGTTTGCAGACAGGGCATCCTGTTTGGAGCTGAGCAGTTCCCAGGAGTCCACACTCCCAGTCTCTGGAATGTCGAATGTCACCCATTTGTCCCTCACCATCAAGGGGAGTCGTGGCAGCATTGGGGCCCCGGTGAGTGAGCCTGGGCCAACTTTGAGCGCTCTCTGTCTGAAGCTTAGGTTTCCACACTGTGCAGGGTATGGGAATCTAGTAGGGAGGGCCGCATTGCCTCTTCTCCCTCTCCTGGAGGCCTGCAGGACAGGTCACTCCCACGGGGACCCACGGGGGCCTGCAGGGGTCTGAGTCAGAGCACACCAGACAGCTCATGCTCACTGGTGGATGGAGACATGGAGTTGGCCCTTTCCAGTTGGTCTCTGGGAAGGAAGGGCAGACATTTGGCCAGGCGCAAGATCCTAGCACTCTGGAACAGCTGCCACAGGTAATTCCGGAACCTCTGGCCCACAAAGACGTAGATGATGGGGTTGACACAGCAGTGTGTGTAGGCGACCACCTCTGTCACCTGCAGGGCCAGGTCCAGCTGTTTGCTCTGCTCACAGTACTTGGTGAACATGTGCTCCTGGAAAGTGGAAACGAACACAGCGAGGTTGTACGGGGTCCAGAAGAGGAAGAAGATGATCATGATGACGAAGATCAGGCGGACGGCTTTGGCCTTCTGCTTGTTGGGCCGGTGGAGCAGAACGTTGAGGATGCTTGCATAGCAGAACACCATGACCAGCAGCGGCAAGATGAGGCCCAGCAGGTTCAGCTTCAGAGCCTGAAATCGCTGCCAGGCCTTCAGGCTGTCAGAGGGGTAAAATATGCTGCAGGTGTGGTGAGTGGCCTCCCACTGGGTCTTGGAAAAGTACAGGCCTGGGACAGAAGCCAAGATGGCCAGAGCCCAGGTGACAATGCTGGTGATGATGCCGAAGGTGACAGTCCGCGCTCGAAGGGCAAACACAGCGTGAACGATGGCCAGATACCTGTCGATGGTCAGCAGGACGATGAAGAAGATCTCGCTGTACAAGCCAACATAATAGAGGCCAGACAAGAGCTTGCACATGGCGTCACCAAAGATCCAGTTGTCTTTGACCTTGTAGTCGATCCAGAAGGGCAGCGTGAAGAGGAAGAGCAGGTCTGAGAGGGCCAGGTTGAGCAGGTAGATGGTGGTCATGTTTTGGAGCCGCTTGTACTTCATGAGGACCAGGACCACCAGGACGTTGCCCACCACGCCGATGAGGAACACCAGGGAGTACAAGGGTGGCAGCAGCTGAGCCCCAAAGGCCCTCACAGCCACCTTCTGGCAGGGGGTTGCGCCCTCATAATCGTACTCAGTGGTCAGGCTGTAGTCCTCTGTGGTAGCTGGGGTCTCCATCCTGGCCTGGCCTGCGGGTCAAGAATAAGGGTTTCTGTTATTGGTTTCCATCAAGGGCCATGGCTCTAGGTTGTGAAGACAAGGTCCTGGTTAGATTTCTCCCTTCACCTGATTAGTGTTTACCAAGATCCATCAAGTACCATGCCTGGAGACATAATGGTGAGCCAGCAGGGAGACCGGGTCCTCTCTGCAGTCCAACAGCAAAGTGGGGCTGAACAAACATGTGTGCAGATCCTGAATCCCATTTCCTCAGTCACCAGTTTCCAGGGATAAGCTCCGGGCTGAGGCAAGGCGGCCTCACAGCCCCCGTGGCCCCACAGCCAGGTCTTCCTAAGCAAGCCTGAGGGCCAAGGCCCCAGATTTCATGTTCAAGGACCCTTGAAGGGAACTTCTTGCTCCCATTTTAGGCGGGTGGATGACAGGGAGGTGGGAGTGTTAGGAAACGTGCCGAGGACAAGGCTCTGGGAAACAGGAAACCTGAAGCTCAAAGCGAGGGAGTGTTTCTCTGGTGCCCAGCCTGGAGCCCACATGGTTCTCCTGCCTCCATAGCAGCATGATAGCTTTGTCCCCCACAGTCCCCAGAAGGATTCTGGGAAGGAGAACCCTCCTGCTTTGGGGCACGTATCACAAAGAGCTTCACGCCTTCTTGGTCTACAAAGGTCATAGGTGTCCTATAATTCAAAAATGGCTCACTCCATATCTCAGAGAGCTGTCACTGTGAGAGCAGAAGGTGAACCCATTACTCTGTGGACAAGGGCACAGACCACAGACTTGCCAGCTTGACTTGGGTCACTGGGCCGCATATGGCCTGGGTGGGTGCACAGAATGGTGCACACCTGTGGTGCCCACCTAGAGGAGCGTCTAGAGGGAATCCCAGGCTGTGTGTGTGTGTGTGTGTGTGTGTGTGTGTGTGTGCGTGCGTGTAGAGCACAGCATAGCCTTGGCCATGCAGTGACCTTACAGAGAGACCAGTGTCCTGCTGGGTGTCCCTTGTCCCTGAGTGCTGCCCATCATGGTCTTCTGGTTGGCGCCCTAGACAGTGTTGTTCGGGCAGTGACAGTCCCTCCATGTGAATGCTGGCTGGAAAGTTCTGGAAAGCTGTGCTGGAGATGTGCATGGAACATGACTTTCTGAGCTTGGGAAAGGTGGGGGCTGGCCAGTGGGTTGTGCAGTGGGCGGGGGAGCGACTTCCACTGTCCCATGCACAGTGGAACACACAACCAGGCTCGCTCACCACTGCCAGCTCCGAGTAGGTCATAGGAGGACCTGGCCTGCTTCTAACCCAACAAATGACAAATGCTGAGGTGAGAGGTACACCGATTGCCCCACTCTGGTCCTTCCACAGTGGGCATATGCACTGAGATATCACACCGTCGTCCACACATAGGTTTGCTTTCTAAGTGTCCACTAAATAAATATCTTTTTGTATTTTAGGTAAGGGTCCACAGGGTGTTCAGGGTCTCACTATGAAATCAGACTTGTAGTGATCTGCCTGTTTACAGCCTCCCAAGAGCTGGGATTACTGGCGTGTGCCACCATGCCCAGTCTCAACTGCCATCTCAGCGTGCCCCGGGGGGGCGGGGCTGGCACAGCAGGAATCAAACCTTCGGCCCCGTGCCTGCTTGCAGGTGCTTTAATCCACTGAGCTATTTGGCCAGCCCAAATAAATGTCCTAACATTGGAAAGTGAGCAAATAAAAGTAGATGAGGTTTTCATTATGTGGACACTTAGAGGAGGAAGTGATTTGACCCACTTCCAATCGTGCCCTTGCCTGGACCCTGGCTGTCTCGGGCTCTTCCTTCTACTGCCCTTAATGAGATTTCCTGCTTTGAAGTCCACTCCTCAGGCTTGGCCCGGGGTCTCCGAGGCCGATGGTAGGGGCAGGCGCCCAGGCTGGAAGGGGTGGCATTCGGTTAGGGTGGTGGGGGAGGGCTTGCAGGCCCCTTCTGATTCATCCCTAGTCGCTCTCCTCTTTCTGCACCTGCTCAGTCCTGATCTGAGAGCCCAGGTGCCCCAAACAGCTCTACTTTGGGCTCTCTGCTGCCCCTGCAGGCGGAGGTGAGGGCAGTCAGTTAGGGCTGGACTAGCCAGGCTGGTCCCAGGAGTGGAGATTCCTGTCAATCTGGCAACAGCAAAGGAAGTTGGATCACTTCCAGCTGACCCAGCCCGGCTCAAGTTGCTCTTTACTTAAAAGGCGAGACCCTGGGACAGCTGCAGGCACGCTGCTCCTGAGGACGACCTGCGAAGGGGACTTGCAGGAGAAATGCCAGGATACTATTGCCAGGAGCCCCTGGGCCTGGAGCCACCCAGCCTAGTGTCCTCCATTGGAAGTTCCTGGACAGAGAAGGCCGTGCAGGATGCTATGAGCCATTGAGTCTTCCCAGCAAATTTGTTCAGAGCAAACCCCTCATACCTGCGTTGCTTTTCCTAACTCACATTTCCCTCTTGCTGCAGTTTCTTCATACACTACTTTGGTTTTTCCTTAGGGAGGATATTTGATGAGTAATTTGTTCTTAAATAACTGTAAAAGTCACTGCTTGTCCCTTCCAAGTCACCCTTGGCCTTCTTACTCAGTCTCCACAAGCAATCACAGAAGAAAGCTTCCTTTCAGAAGGGCACAGTGGCTCAGGCCTGCAAGCCCAGAGCTCTGGGAAGTTAAGGCAGGAGGATCACGAGTTTTAGGGAAGCTCAAACAATGTAGCAACGCCTTGTCTCAAAAATAATTGCTTGAGGGTGGCTCAGTGGGAAGACGCTGGGCTTGGTCTCCAGGATACCCGTCCTCCACGGGGTCTTCCTCCTGCCCACGCACCTTGGGATGCACGCTGCCGCATAGTTCTGCCCAGCTCCCTACTGCTAGGCTACTTAGGGCCTTGCAGCTGCCCCTCAGTACCACCTCGTCCACACAGCCTGGTCTGAATTGTTCTATAGGTTTCCCAGGGGCTACCTAGACACCAGCCTCTGGAGCATGCCCACTTCTGAGGAGCTCTGAGCAGCCCGTGTCTGAGCAGGGTCACCCACAGCAGCAGCAGGAGACAGCACAGAAAGGCCAAGGCCCACTTACCTGGCTCCGAGGGGCTGACCTCTTAGCGGCTTTCTTCACTGAGGGCTCGAGGTCTCGGGCAGTAGGAAATGCTCAGCTTCCTCTGAGGTGATGGAGACGGGGCTTCAGAGTCACCGACTGTCAGAATGACAAGATACAGCTCGACTTCTGCTGCTGCTACGCCTGGGTGCTCCTGGCCTGTGACACCACCTGCCCTGTGGCTGCATTCACGGCGGGGACTTTCTTTTGTTGGTGGCTGTGGGCAGGCGGGATCATTGTGGGTGGTGCTGTGTGGAGCGGGGTTCAGGGAGGAGGTGACAGTGAGCTCTTCCCAGAACTTGTGGAGCAACTGGGCAGTGTCCTGGTATGGGGAGGGCACTGGGTTCTGTGGTCAGCAGGAGCTTTTTTTTTTTTTTTTTTAAGATTGCAGACAGAAGGATTTAAACCCTGTTTCTGTTCCTAAAAACCAGTTGGCCAGTACTTGAGCCTGAGAGAGGTAGCTGCTTCCCCTGGGCACCCTCCCAGCTCCTGTCCCTCTGCTCCAGAGCAGCAGCCCCTAGATGATGGGTGGCAGGGCTGGGGCTGACTCTTACCTTCCCTCGCTGAGCCTCACCCCCGTGTCATGCAAAGGTCAAACACAGGCTACCTTCCAACCTTACCCGAGCACCATGTCCCAGTTTCCATCTGTGATGTCAGGTTTCTGGCCATGTGTGCTGCAGGAAGAACATGTGGGCAGCTGGCACCTGGAAAGTGTCACAACACCTGGAGTGGTGGCCACACTTATAACCCCAGCACTCAAGAGGCTGAGGCAGGAAAAGTGTTGCAAGCACATGACCTATCTGGGCTGCACAGTGAGTCTGAGGCCAGCCTGAACTGTATAGCAAGATCCTCTGTCATAAAACCCATCCCCACAAAAAGGAAAAGAAAGACAGCAGATCTAAGCTGCTAGTGATGACGCCCTGCAGTCACTGAAACCTACCACTGAAGCCTGGTGCCGGGCTGCAGGACTCCCATGCCTGTACCCGGCTCACAGGAAGCAGTATTACAGAACCTACAGAATAGAGAACCCTGGAAGGATGGGGCAGGACCACTCTCAAGGGTGGAGCCTTAGAAATATAATTTGCATTTTCTCCCATTTCTCTTAAGGCAGTTAAGGAAGCAAGAGAAGGTTTTGCTTAAAACATCCTAACTCTTCCGACAAATGGCCCAATTGATAAATGAAAGTAGAGCAGAACTTGCCTCTCATTTTTAAACCTTTGTTAGTATAAATCTTTTGGCCAAATTCCTTCCCAGCTCTGCACAAACATGTGTTGATCATGAGGTCCTGTCACCTAAATTTAGGCAAAATGTGATGGATGAGCCCTGAATTTCCTTGACCTCTCCTACTTTGAAGAGGAGGACATCAAGACAAGAGATTTGCAAGGACATTCAAGGACAGCCAGAAGCCTCCAGTCATTGTCCTCAACCCATGATCTGGAGGGTTCTGGGAGAAACAGAGGCAGGGACAATCATTTCCTGGGACTAGAACCACCCACAAGCCCTGAGGAGTCCGGAACTAGGAAACCAGGCCCAGCTCACACAGCTTTAAAAGCTGACAAGGCTCAGTGGGTGTAATTCCAGCCCCGGCCCTCCCTCGTTAGGGCAAGCTTGCTCTATGTCAGCTTGTCCAGCTCAGCTCCTCCAGCTGAGCCCCTTCCCAGTGTTTGCAGCTAATGCTTTTTCCTGAAAATCTGTTCTTTAGTTCTAATTTCTATTATTAAATGCAAGAACTCATGCTGGCCACCAACAAGGTCACCAGTGTTCAGGTGCTTTGAGGGCGTCCCTGTGTCCCTCCTGCTTCTGAGTGCTCACTTGGAAAATGAAGACCTCAGACGAGGTGGTCTCCACAAGGTTGCTGGCCATCACTTAGCTCCACCCTGAAAGTGGGGTCTGATTTTCTTCCCAGAGTCCAAAGGCTTTTTGGTGTTCAGTGAGGAAAGAGGCAGCGAGGCCCTCCTCTACCTTGAGCCTGTGACAGAGAGAGA